TTCCCCTACAGGGAATGCCAAATATCACTCCGGCATGGTGTAGTGGCTAACATTGCGCTCTCTCATAAGCATGTTTACTATGCTTACGTAACAGCGCAGCCCAGGGTTCGATTCCCTGTACCGGAATTGATTTTTATTGGATAATTCGATTCTGCTACTTTCTAACTTTCGAATGATCCAAAAATCAGCTTAAACGGTGAAGAATTGGGTTAGAAACCATGGTTTTGTAGCAAAGGTGGTTTGAAAGTCCGAAAATTCTACTAAACATTGGTAGAATGCATTCTATGTTCGAACTCTACAGAATGCATGGAGTGCATTCTACGGAATGTTACCTGGTCATAGCAATCGCGGTAGAGTTATGTCTTGGAACTCTTTATTAAGCGTTAGGAATGGGTGAATTTTCGCTGCCCTAGTTTGTGTTTCAAGCTTGTTGTTATCGTCATTCTCATCGCCTCTTTCTGGATTAAGATATTGCCAAATTGGGCGCTGATGAGCACCGGAATATTCCATCATCTTACCATGAAAGTGGCAGTGTCTATTCAGCACATTGGCCGTGATGGTGATGTATAGACTTGCCCTTCGTTTGAGCATCTTCGATGGAAAGAATCAGCACATGTTGGCGTTGGTGGAATCATTTATCTCGCGCAGCACCATTGGTAACCACCTGTTACGAGGTAGCCTTGCTGGTGCAGTGTTTCGTAACTTTGCCCACCAACAATCCACAGGAAGATTCCCTAACATGAGGTGATCTGTGCACCGGAGGCAACATAACGCCGACGGAGTTCGCCCCTGGGGTAAGACTCATTTACCCGAACAGCAGAAGAAGGGCTGGATTCGAATCGTTGAATAACGACACGCGGATTTGTGCAAAAATTGTTTTGCTCTCTTACTTGACTAAATATTCTCTCAGTACTATAACAGATTCACATAGTAAAGGCTCGGAATAGCCACAGCAGTATGTTCAGACACGAATATCAATTTCGTCATAGAAGACTTTATTCCCTATCCATCAAGGGTCCCATGATGGATTAATACCATGTAAACCACCATTGGACAATCGACCATACCGAATTTTGGGATTGTGCCTCGGCATAAAAATAAGTTCGGCTACTTCACACCGTCCTCCGAGTTTACCTCCGCCCCAGCTACTGCAGGCAGCTCGGAGGAAGCTTCATACTCTAAACTGACAATGAACTTCTCCATCGTCCTAAAGCCATGGGGTTACGGGGCGAGAAATTGTCCCTTGGTTTATAAACACGTTCGAAATTAATGGCTTTCATTCCTAACAACATGTCCCTCCAAGGAAAGCACAAGAAAAGGAAGGGTGCTCAACCTATTACAGCAAAGACGTGGCCAGGAGGGCTTTACAATGGGCTTTCCGTGTATGTTATCGACGAACATCAAAGGCCAGTCGCTGATTCTATCTCGCAGCCTGAAAAACACCCCAGGCTTGGCTCGTACGCCAATGATTTTAATGTGGACGATCACCATCGGCTTTAACAAGTCACCCTTTGCTAAACAATTTTATCAGTGGCTCAATGCAAATTACACGCACAGGCAAATCCATTCTTGGGGCACCTTCATCGCTACCACATCGTCATATTGGCTATTGGGTATCCTGTTCATGATCGCTGACCTCACTGGTCGTCCAAAGTGGCTGATGAAATACAAGTTGCAACCCTGGAAGAAGGTGAGCGCGAAGGAGTATATCAACATTTGTCTGGTCGCTTTGCGCAATCAACTGTTGGGTGCCAGTGCCTTGAGCTACATAATGGGACGATGGATCGCGCCATGGAGAGGAATGAGAACGGATGCGCCTCTTCCAGGAGTGTTTGAGACCTTGGGTACATATGTGTTTTGCATAATGTGTATGGAGGTCCGTGTTTCTTCAACTCTCGCGTAGAGAAGGCTAAACATTTTTCAGGCGGGTTTCTTCTATGTCCATCGACTTTTGCACCACCCACTTTTCTACACGAGAATACACAAAATGCATCATGAATTCACCGCTCCCGTGGCTCTAGCTTCGACTTATTGTACCGTAACGGAGTACATCTTTTCCAATCTCATGCCAGTCATAATCGGTAAGCCCAGACCTGAATTCATAAAAGCACTACTGACCTATATGCCAGGTTTGGTTATTTTGGGATCACATTGGTCTATGAGTGAGTCCATCTGACCAACATTTTGATCTTCCACTGACGACTCCAATAGTCATTATGTTCTTCTCCGGTAAGAGACCTGTCGTTTCATGATTCCTTTGGCTTACCCTCAGCAGATTTAGGATTTGGTACACTATGCACACATTCAGGTTACAACATAGTGCGTTGCCCCGTTCAATTTCCTACTTCTGTGCCTGATCTTGTTCTTCAGCCTTATGCATATCGGAGTCTTCAGCACGACTTCCACCATTATTTCTCCAATGAAAACTATGGGTAGGTTAGACTCCACTTTCCATGGAGGGATGCTTACCTTTGTGTCAGGCCAACTGGACTCTTGGATGCCGTATACGGTACCGCAACAAACTTCCGTCTCCTCCTCAAAGAGGCCGAAGCCCGTCATCAAGGAGACTTTCATAAAGCCAGTCAAGAATTGATGAAGGATGTTGCTCGTTGGGAGGGTGAACGGGAAAATGGAGACAATTTAGAGTCGGAAGATTCAAATTCGGATACTTTATCAAATACCGGTAGCGCCGAAGTTGCTTCCCTGAAGAAGCTCTAAGCCCTAACTCTTATCTTTCTACTGGGCTAGGGTTAACGACTTGCTGATTCTTGCACTGGCCTTGTCATTTGTAGCACAGTTTCTTAAAAAAATAAAAAAGTGAACAGCCACGGGAAGCGGGAGCGAATGAGTCACGTGTGCCTAATGAGTCTTGAGGATTGGGGCCCTCCTGTGCACCCCTTGTCTCACGCTGTTCTCTTGTTCCAGTTTCCTTTATTTCCAACGACCACCGTCATCCCCCAACCACCAGCGATACTCCCCCCATTGCGCGAATGAGTACTTTCCCCGCTTATTTCAGACATCGTACCTACGGTCCCCGGTGAGTATTCCAGTTCCATATTCTTATCTGGACCAGCGGTTATTTACTTCTATTCTCCTTTGGAATCATTTGCCACCCATATCCATTACTGGTAAATGATACATAGATGCGCTAGTCCACCTACGTTTGTGTGCTACGAGCTTCCACAGCCCGAGCCATATTCCAGGTCTGCCACGCCATCCTCAGACGAATATTCGGACGATGACGACGAGAGAGATGATGAATCGAGCACGGAATCCTCCAATTCTGAATTATCCTCGCAAGACGCAAAGTCAAATGAAACACCCGGAGATGTCGTAATAGTTGACAAGAAGGCAGAGGATGAGGCGAACGCTGAAGTTGCGACTATCGCGGTAGACAAAGTTACAATTGACGACAAGACCGACTTGCAGCCTTCAGCCGATGGATCAACCACTGAGAATGCAGAAGACTCTGAAGAAGAAAGGCGAAGAATCGAGAAGCGGGAAGGAAAGAAAAAGGAGGAACCAGTTCCAGAGGAGAAGACCGAAGACGCACCAGTGACGCTGGTAGAGAAGAAGAGGAAGGACAAGAAAAAGTCAAAGAGGAGGCACAGAGAAGAATCTCCTGCCCCTCCTGTTAGGTCCGTTCCTGTGCTTCCTCTCGTCTATCTCAAATATCTCACGACGTGTCACAGGCCGATCCTCACCATTCGTAGCAGCCAGGGCTTTGTTTGGAATCAAGATCTCTTCGTGCCACCATATATCAAGGAAAGATGTGAGTATCGAATGCTTATCTGTGATGATGTTACTCATCTCGCGCAAAAACAGATATCGCCTCCTCTCCCCCTAGCTCCATCTCTGCCATTCACGGTACGCCTCCCAAGAGTAACTTCCGCAACAACAACTTCTTCTCCACGTCCAATGAAATGGACTACGAAGTTGAATGTGTCGAAATCCGAGTGTCCGAAGGAGAGATGGACCATATTATTCCCAGATACCGTTGATGGGTCCCGTGTTGAATATAGATTCAGGTCTCTTTCATCAAGCATCATAACTTTCCTTCGTCTTATCGCAAACCATTCCCTTGGCTACAATCGCAGGAGCTCAAGGCTCATCCACTTCATTTCTTTATCATCAATCATACGGCTATTCCATTCGTCTTCTTATGCTCTATCCATCACTGTATTGTTGGTCTCTCTTGTACATACCGTTTTCTTATCCACAACGACCCTGCTCGCTCCGTCGACGCTCAATTTGTATGCTATTAGCCTCCGATGTGAAGCCATTGATTTCCCAAATTAACCGAGTGTGGGCAAAACACGCACTTTTTGGTTTACATGACGTGATCATTTCAGTACACCCGAGACGATAAAGAGCCGCGCTTTGAGATGAGATAATGTCCTGGATCATTTCATTTCCATTTCCAACCAATTTCCGCTAAAAATATTAAAAGCACATTAATCATCTTTCTCATCCCCGCACTCTCAATTATATCATTGCAAGACGAAAGGTAAAATAGGAAACTTCCCAGTTGGAAGGCCTGTCACACAAACTGGTTACTTCGGGAATACGTCTTGGCCTTGCATCTATCTGATAACGCTTTTATGAGGTTAAAGAAAGGAGATCACTCTTCATCTGCATTTAACTCAATCACGTGTGTGTTGGCGTGGTCTTGAGGGACAAATTTGTCAGCTAACTGAAGTCAGAGAAAGCGATTAGCTCTATGACTGACAAGGGTAACAAAGGTATTTCGGTTGCGTTCTATAGAATTGGGTTGTTCACGCATTCATGAGTGCACCAGTACCCAGGGTCTAAGAAGCACACAACAAATCAATATTCGATATCCGCAGATGACCAACTTTGAGAACACGAGTGGCTTCTTCGAATGGTCCTTTCTTGACGTCTTCAACCTCTTAACGATTGTAGTATCACCACCTTTACCAGGGAACCACACCAAGAACCGAGCCGGTCCAACCCTTTAAATCCTCGCTAACCAGAACTATGTAGGTTTGAGAGTGCCATGTCTGAAATAGTAATATTCCAGGATCGATTTTCTCACCGTTACTGTGATTTACAGAACGATGCACCCAATGTGAAGTGAACCTTAGTCAGCCCAAAGTCTAAACATC